GGAGGTTTGAAGTAATAAAAATGATATATGTTATTCTGCTTTCATAATTGAATACATGGTAGATGATACTCAGATTTTTTGCATGTGTATGTTTGTGGCGATATGAGTACTAGAGGCAGTGATATGTGTGTTTTATGTTGAAGTTTTGTTGAAGTTCTATTTCAGAATGCAGATTGATTTCTTTTTCTTTAAATTTTAGGATATTATATGAATTAATGTCATGAATGACTTCTTTCATGTTGATTGATGTATTGTTGGTAATTTTACTATAAGAGTATTATTCTTATACTTTCATAGGTTCTTGTTTGGAGGATTCACTATTAGCCCATAGATGGGACTCTAACAGGTGCTACCACCCCAGGTCAAGGTGGACCTGGGAACAACAGCAATTTCATACTCCTCAAAACCTCTAATCTCCCGATCGGAGGCCTTGCTGCCTGATGTAGTTTATCATCATACCCTGGACTTAATATGGCTTTCAATTCTCTAGGATAACTGCTGATGTGTTAAAGCTTATTGTTGAAAGAGTCTGTCAAGCTTTGGTGAAGCTCAGGCTGTTGCTTTGAATGCCACAAAAACGTTTGATAGGATTTAATATGCTTGACTTCTTCACAAGTTGAAAGGTTATGGTATTTCTGGATAGATTTTGGGGATCTGATTCAATCTTACTTATTAAATTACCAAAATGAAAATTGTTTTGAACAACAATGCTTCTAGGATCTTTTTTGTATTAATGTGCATATCCCCCGACCCCAACCTCTAACCTTGGCCTTATATTGTTTATAATTTTCATCAATGACTTTCTTGATATCATCATTTCTCAATCCAAAGAAGAATCTGCAATGTTATTGGTTTTGATCTTGCATCTCAGTTTCATTCACTTTTCTACCATCATAACGTAGCTTCCATAATGAAGACCTTTTCTACAAATATTTTCATGTTTTCAATGTTTCTTCTCTCATATTTCTCACTTGTGGAAATGTCTTCCAGTCTCTGACTTCTCAGTCAACTTTGATCTTCAAAAGCTGAAATGCAATGTCAATTGTTATCTTCTGTCTTCTTAAATCCTGTTCTTTTATTGTCCTCTTTCTTTAATACTGTTTCCCTTCTTCTCATATTCTTTCATGCGCAGTAACATCTTTTCGCATCTTAGTAGCCTTATTGCTCTGGTGAAATGATTCCACCCCATTTGGGAAATTAGCATTTAAAATTGCAACTTCTCCTTGAAATTAAAACTGAGCATTTGATAGTGTAACTATCTATTAGGCCATCCAAATAAAGAATATAGGTAAAAAAAAAAATTGTTTTAATTAAAAACTCAAATCTATTTTGAAAAGTGTTCAATCATTTTCTGTTTTTCTTTAGTCTTAGGTTATTTGTCGAGGGCTTTTATCCACTTGTTGAGCGCTTTGATCCACTTGTTGAGAGCTTTTATCCCTTGTTGAGCGCTTTTATCCACTTGTTGAGGGCTTTGATCCACTTGTTAAGGGCTTTTATCCACTTGTTGAGGGCTTTGATCCACTTGTTGAGGGCTTTGAGCCACTAATTGAGCACTTTGATCCACTTGTTGAGGGCTTTGATCCCTTGTTGAGCACTTTTATCCACTTGTTGAGGGCTTTGATCCCTTGTTGAGGGCTTTGATCTACTTGAGGGCTTTGATCCCCTTGTTGGGCTTTGATCCCTTGTTGAGCGCTTTTATCCACTTGTTGAGGGCTTTGATCACTTGTTGAGGGCTTTTATCCACTTGTTGCAAATCAAACAATTTATTCATGACAGCCTACTTTAAATATTAACAAAGAAATAAAGTGAGAAGAAAGATTGGCATTTATCCACTGATCACTGCTCCCCTCCAGAATGGTCTGCAGGTTGATGGGGTGATTCAGAGGGTTGTTAAATTTTTGGGGATTTAAAAGAAGATTGATTAATAAATCTTGGTGACTTACAAGTAAAACTCACCATTGTTCCAGCATGTATTAATCCACTTACTCCTGCTAATCGAACATGTTAATGATGCCAACTAATTCAAGAAAAGAAAACTATATTAATTTATTTTTAATATGTTTATTATTACCTATGTCATTTATGAAATTTTTACTCATTATTATTCAAACAAACATGTCTCATATAGGAAGAGAAATAGAATTTGAAAAAGGAAAAAGGAAAATGTAAAGCTAAAATAAATCTTATCAAGGAGCAATAAAGAAGGAAAAAAGAATTTCTAACCTTAAAAAATAATTATTACTAATTTTTTTTTATTTTTTGGAAATGTCAAGGGGGTTATTGAAGAATCTAGGATTCCATGAAAGGGTCAATGGTATACTGAAAATATAAGTTTGTATATGTTGGGACCTTTTTACTTTTATCCTATATCAATGAAATGCCATTGAATTTCTGGGGAACTAATTTCACTATTTTTCTCTTTTCAAAAATTCTCAAATTGAAATTAAACTAAATATTCCTTCTGAAAAGTTCCTCCATTTCCAAATTATGTAAATAAGATTGTTTTAGTTCTGTAAATATGAAAAAGGTCATTATCTCCCATTGGTTGTGATGAAGTCACATGAGTCATGGACAGCCACTTAGTGATGTCAATTCATAGTCTGAAGAACTTGGTCAGACCAGTTAGCTTCTTTTTTAGTATGGGAAAAGGCTAAATCTGCCCACCAGGGCCGAGGCTAAATTTACCTTACCCAGGCAAGCATGCCAAAGGGGGGCAGCTCACAAGCACACAGCAACATTTTTCCCTATATCTCTGGCTTGCAGCTTCCATGTTGGGAAATACCCATGATTCATCATTTTCTGTTTGAGAAATATGTCCCCACCAATGACAGAGAAGATAAATTCAGCCTCTGTTTGGAATCTTAAATATGGCTTCTCCAGAACCATAGAAGAATCCTTCGACAATGCAAATACCCATTGGTAATTATTACAAGTAAGTCTGTTGAACATTTTTTCATTACTTGTTGTTGTATGCATGTGTTATAGTTTCTCTATGTGGGACAAGTATAAATGTTTGTATAATTTTGTATATTACTTAAAATAAAACAGTCTCAGAACAAACAAGGTATGTGTGTCATTCCTTTTCTTTTCAGCTATTCTGTTCGATTCATGTATTAAGGTGTTACTATATCATGGAGCATAGTAATGCTCATAATGGAGGAATTGCAATTAGGAAACATTCCTTTTCTCACATAGTCAACCCCATTAGCTCATTATTCAAAATGGCTACAACATGAGCAACTGAAATATATACGTCATGCAGTTATGGTAGAACATTTATACTCAAGATCATATTATGCTACCATTTATTTGACGATCACAACAATGGGGGAAGTGAATGAAATAAGAAATTATGGTGGTTCCGTTCTTCATAAGAAGACTGCTTCACCTGTGGGAGTCCATTAACTGAAAATTCAAAACCAATTATCAATCTACAACAGACTTGGCAAAATTACTAACATTTGTTTGTTAATCATTTTTTTTTTATCAGATCAAAATTTAACATTTCAGTTGATATTGTAAAATAAAATAAATGTTATATATGTGTAAAATTTCAGATATGATTAAAATATATATCTGTAAAAGGACAATATGAATATATTTCCTTTTTGTCTTTATTGATAGTAAGAGAGAGAGAGAGAAAGAGTGAGTAACGTGTCGATGTAAAAATCTATTTTTCTTGAAAGCAAAAAAATCAAAAAGACGCCTTTTTCCCCGCCCTTTTTTAGGTTTGATGTCAGAGAGAAATTCTTAGTATTCAAACTCGGAAGAATCCCCTTAAATAAAATGTTTGTCAAAGAAAAACATTTATTAAGGTAAGTTTTAATGGGGGAAACCTTGTGAATGTCGACATCCAAGAAGCTGCATAATTATTTTTATTATGCAATAAAACAAGCGCATTGATGTGGCCGATTAAGTAGAACTGAAAAAAAAAGACGGATTTTTATTTATTATTGAGAGAAGGAAAACAGTGAAATTTAATCCTCGTTTTTATCATTTGTTTGTTTTTTTTAATTTTTTTTTTTTTAGGGTTGCTTACTTTTTGTTAAAAAGAAGGGGAAAAATACTTAAATTAAATTTATTATGGCCCCCATGACGTGTCGAATAAAAATCGTTAATCGTTGTTAATATTTTTTTTAGTGAGTAGCAATGATCTTAAAATATTATTAATGATTTAAATGCGAGTTATTAAAACACTGCAACATATTAATTAGGCGTAGAGGTCAATTATTTCCTCTCTCAAACAAAAATAAACCATGACAATTTCACAGGAACTTAACGAAGGTCATTGTCAGTTTTTTTTTCTTATTTAAAAAAAATAAATAAATATATTACTTCCTCAATCCACTTTTCAAAAAATCATTTACGACTTTCATCTTTTTAAGATGACTAATTAACAGCCAATTTATTTTCAGTTTATTTTCATCGGTGTGAAACTATATCCCAACCAAAAGGACATAAAAAGTTGACGAGCACACACACACACACACGTGTGCGCACCGATCAGTAAGAGGAAGAATAAAAAGGTTTTATTTTTGTTTTATCGATAAATTAGTTTAATTCTATCCTTGACATTTAATGACTTTTTTCTTCAGTTGTTAATTTCAAAGCAATTGGTTCATTTATGTTTGCCTTTTTTAAACTACAGTTAACTCAACCAACACATTGAGCATATGACGTTGTGTACCGTAGTGTACCCATCCGGGTGGGAAATAAAAGTACACACGACCTTCGCATTCAAACTCTGTGTAATAATAATAATAATAAAAAAAACAACAACAAAAAACAAACTATTTCTCATTATAATATCGAATGTTGTACTCAACTGTAGACTATTAAAAGAAAACAATTGTTTTTGTCATGCATTTTTCTGCAAGGCGTTTTGATTGTCACTTCACTTTTTTAGTTTTTTTGTCAAACAAGATTCAAATCAAAAATACGAAGAGAATTGTCAACGGCACTTTTCTTTTACTTTTCAAAAAGAAGAAGCGTGTACTCACTTTCATTGGGTAGATTTCGAATCCTAGATCTTTTAGGATACCATTCATGGAATCGACAATCTTCTCTAGACTTTCTTGAGGTGCCAAAAAAAAAGTTAAATTTTATTTACACACCGCATTGCGTTTTTTTGAAGGGAATGATGTGTGCAAAGGTATATTTTAAAAAAAATTCTTTGCTTCCTGAAATGTCTAAAAAGTTGTCTGCCTTGATTAAAAATCAGAATTTTTAACTTAGATAAAATCGTTTCAATTCGATCCTCTCACCGATATTGACCTTGGGCTCAAAAAAAGTTTGTTGTGTAAAACAAAATTTGACTAATCTCAACATTTATTTGGAAGTTTGATTTTTGGCGGTACATAATTCCAGTGTGTATCTTTCGCGTGTGTCAGTCTCAAAAAAACGAAAATTCGTTTAATATTTCTGAGATAGTTTTTTAAAGAAATCGGCTCCAACGGGGATTGGTAGCTGTTGCAAATTTTTCTGAGAAATGCGTTGGCGAATGTTGTATTTTTTTTTTTTTAGCCAATAGGATTTCTTGAAACATTTAAATTAGGAATGAATTTGAGAAAGATTTTTTTTAACGTCGGTTGAGCATATTTTTGCACAAATTTTGACTGTTTTTTATGGAAATTTCTCGAAGCAATTTTTTTATTTAACAACCAATGAAATTCAATAAAATGTTTAAAATTGAAATGAGGGTTACTAAAATACCCCACCCCTAAGATTGGAAATGGCTACACTTACAATATGTCTAGTATGTTGAAAACCTAGTAAGTCAATGCACGCGTCTACCTGACGTGGTAGTGCATTTTCACTAGTATCCGGTTTGGTCGGAGTTAAAGAAGTTGTACCAGTATTATTATGATTACAAGGACTTGAATCTAAAAATTTTGGTTTGAGTCTGTCAAAAATACACACAGACCTTCTCATGAATTTTTTAGAGTGAAATATTTGGGTGCATGGGAAATAACCCTGTAAGGACCAGCATATGGTGGCGTTAGAGTTTGTTTTTTTTTTAAAGAGTCCCGACGAAGAAAAACAGGATCGGAGTTCTTCAAATCTTTCGGAATAAAGACAGGTTTTTTTGAAGCACATCTTGGAGAATAAGTAAGATTAGACATTCTGTTCTGTAAGTCACAAACAAATTATGTCGTCGGTGTAGATTCTGGATTCTGGTTATTGACTATTTGTCCAGGTAATAAAAAAAAAACAGTGCCGTAAACTAGTTCTGACGCTGCATAATCTAAATCCGTCTTTAAGACGTTTCGCAACATTAACATTATTAAAGGCAGTATTTTTAGCCATGTGGTATTATCAGCAGTCGCTATTAACGAAGACTCCAGTTGACGATGAAATCTCTCCAATTTTCGTTTAGCACATGGGTGGGGTATGCCGTAATAGAGATATCTTTTTGAAACTCTAACAGTTTTAAAAATTCGTCAAAAAGTGCTGATTGAAACTGCAGTCCCCTGTCGATTGTAATAACTGAAGGACATCCGAAATTCGCTATCCAATCTCGAAGTATTGCTTTAGCAACAGTTTCAGCAGTTGTAGATTGTAATGGAACTGCGACAGGCCATCTTGTAAAACGATCTACTATAGTTAAATGTATTCGTAGCAGTTAACTTTTTGAAGAGGCCCCACTAAATCAACATATATGTGGGGAAAAACGACTTGTCGTGTCCGCTAAAATACCAAATACAATATTTAAAGCAATCACACCCAAGAAAACACTTACACCTTAAAACACACCAATAAAATCATAGAATACAAATCAAAAAGTTTGTTGTATTAGGCATCATTATTTTTAGGTAGATACCGACTAAATATCGTACAGACGTAGTAGAAGACATACCACGTGTCCTTTTAGGGCCAATTAGGAATAAATAAATAATTTAATTCTGGAGCCGATTTTGTTACGAAAAAGTGTATAAAAACATAGGAAATCCGTTCCCAAACATGGATACACGCGGCTGTCACCAAACTACACACACCTCTCGCTGATGATCTTCATGACCTCATGTTAAAAAGCGACAGCGTTAACAAACTTCAAACTACGGCAACACTGCCAACAGTAAGAAACAATTTCTATCTCTCGTATCCGTTTTACTATGAATCACGCACACACATGTTGACTTTTCATACAAACACATTATAACAACGTTTAATTGTTTCTCACATACGTACACAAAAACAGTTTATATTTTATTTCAGAACTTTATCAACCCAAACAAAAAAGACATTTTTCCAATTCATCATCAACTGCTTATATCCTTGTTTTAATTAAATTAATGTTTATTCGTTGAAATTACGTTGTCTTTTCTACTGAATTTTATTCTTTAATGAAAAATCGTGTGATTATTCTAGACGGTCAAATTACAGGCGACCCTGTAAAACGATATTTTATTAATGTATCGAATCCCAACATATAATAAATTTTAAAAATTCAACGAAAAAAAAATTGGAGTAGAAAGGAAAAATATACCGTCCAGTGGTAAAAAAGTACCAAGGGGTGATTTGGTATGCTTAGTTATTTTTGAGCTCTGACATTTTATACAGATTTTGGTCCAATTCCTGATGTCGATTGACATATTAGGCCAGACGAAACGGTCGGATATTAATTTATAAGTAGCTCGATGTTCCGGGTGAGAAAGAGAGTGAAAATGCTTGAAAAGAGAACGTCGAAGAGTTGGTGGAATATATGCATGATGATGTTCAGTTGAAACATCGCAAAATATAATCTCGTTGCTGAAAGGTAGCGGACGTTGCTCGAACAGTAGTGACGTTGAGTTTTTAACTTTGTCGAATGTGTTATTCAATTTTTGCTCACGGGCAATGCTATTGAAATCCAGTTTCAAGGAGTTAACAGAATTTAGATTCGTGCGTGACAAGGTATCAGCAACAATATTGCTGTCACCCTTAATGTATCTTATATCAGTAGTATACTGGGCAATATAATCTAAATTAAAATATCATATATCCCGGGGATTGCATTTGTCCGATCTGGTGTGTAAGGCATAGAACAGAGGTTTATGGTTCGTAAAATGATAAACTCTCTGCCTTAAAGGATACAAATCCTATATTATTCCAACAAATGACTAAAAACACAAAGTAGATTTTGCACACCCGCAAAATCGGATCAAAACGATTAAAAAACAGATTTCGCAATAAGGTTTTTGTTTTAATTAATTTTTCTGACCAATGAAAGAACCGATTTGAGAAACTAAAAAAAAAAATAGATAACGAGCCAGTGTGAAAAAAAGTCAACAATAAAAAGAGAATGTCCTCAATTAAGTCAGAAGGGCGCAGAGATTTTCACTGACTTTTTTAACATATCCGACCTTAAGAGCCGAAAAAATTTCAAACAATTAACAACAGATTTACAACTGATCAAAATAAATTCATAAGTACATTTTCCTTTTATCTTTTATTCCTCATTCACACTCTCTTTTCAACTTAAATTGATAAACCACTTTTTATTTACAACTATACAAAAAAAAAGAAATAGACATTACCCTGCTAATCTGTTGAAAGACAGCGAACACAGACATTTTTATACAAATCACATTTTTGCTTAAACGACTAAAAGCATTAACCTTTTTTACCCTATTCAAAAGATAATAAATATACGTTCTATTTTTAAAACGTTCCTTATCGTGTTGTTTCTTCTTGAAATTTGCGTTATATTTTGTGGGCAGGGTATCCCGTAAAAATTCTCCTTTAATCCGGGCACAATGAACCCCACAGCCTTCAAGCAGATGTCGAAAGTGTTTAATAAACAAATAAATAGCGAGTAATTCACGAGAGAATTGCTGTACTTCTGCTGTGTAGAACTGAGTTTAACAGAAAAAAAAGGATATTTAGGTTTCTTTTGTTTTATCATAAACTTGATGCAACACAGCTTCAGCCATGTTTGAAGAAGAGTGAGGACCATTTTCTTATCATCAGTGATGTATGTTAATAATTAAAATTTGAAAGCGAACGTTTCGCTCGTTCGAAAGCTGAGGATTGTCCTTCATTAAGTAAAATTTTACAGTTTTTCGCTGTTGATTTTTAACATATTGGTCAGAAGTATAAAATTCCAGAACAATTAGGAATAAATTGGCGATAATAATTTATCATACTAATAAATCTGTGTAGTTGCTTTGAGGTAATAGGTTCTAAGAATTTGGTAATCGCATCAACTTTAGAATTGACAGGTGTAATACCAGTGTTGTCAATAGTATGACCTAAGAACACTAACTAGTTCAGAAACAGAACAAACACTTATCCAAATTGTTTTTTAAACCGAAGTGACAAAGTCGTTCAAATATTCAGAAGTAATTTTTAAATATTCAGCTTGTCATTTAAAAGCGATTAAGACATCATCTATGTAAAAAAAAGTGTAATCAAAGCCGAGTAAAACCCTCATCAATAAGACGTTGAAAAATATTGGGCTTTGCATTTCTAAGTCCGAAAGGCATACGAACGTACTCAAAAAGACCAAATGAAAATGGTTACTGCAGTTTTTTTCAATATCCCACTTCAGCAATGGGAATCTGAAAGAACTGGGGTAGCGGATTTTAAATTGTCTATTCTAAAAAAAAAAAAAATAAAAAATAAAAAAGCTTTCTGCATGTCCAATTTAGAGAAAACTTTAGCGCCTTGCAGAGTAAGTGAAAATCTCTCAAATGAGAAATAGGATATTTATCCTGTGTGAGTTTGAGAATTTAATAAATAATAGTCATCACACGGACGCCAATCATTAACTCCAGGTTTTTAGGAACCATATTCAGGGGATTGAAGAAGGACGAATAATTCCTGTTGAAGAAGACGCTGAAATTCGGCTTTCTCAAATTTATATTTTTTTCAGGGTGAAGACGACGCGGGCTATCATGGACGTCAGGTCCAAATAGTAAATAATTTGATTTTTAGCATTATGTCGAACTGTCTCAGAATACGTAAAGGGTGTAGATAACTCCGGAAACTGGCGAAAGAATCGACGAACCTTTTATCGTTAATAGGAGTTGTAGAACAAATACCTAGGGTTCGTTTAAATGTACGAATA